GGGGGGGTCGTGGTTACTAGGGCCAGGCCACTTGTTCCCCGGCGGCCGCCGCTGGCTCGCTCTCACCGCGACGCGGCGGGCTGGAAGTGAGGCACGGTTAGGTTAGGGCGGCGGTAACTCTGCCACCACTGCTGCCGGCTTCGGCCCGGAGGGACCCCAGTCACTCCGTCGACGCCGCCATCTTGTTACTCCTGCTCCAGCCAACACAAAATGCCCCCAGTCCCCGGGAGCCGCTTCTTCACGGCGCAGAGCACTCTGGGAAAGGGATCGCAGGCGCTAGCCTCGTAGGGTCGGCTGCAGGAGGGAGGGCGGAGCCGGATTCGTGAGAGCCACGGCCCACGCTCCGGACCTCACGCCGTCACCGCCCAGCCACCCTTGCGCGCTGGCGATGCCTGCCCAGTGCGCAGGCGTACTGTGGCTTGCGCTCTTCCCTCCCCCCCCCCCCCCTCCCCAGCCCCGGGCTCACTTCCACTTCCGCTCGCCGGAGGTTTTCTGCGGGCTACCTGTCAGTAACCTGGGGCCTGCGTAGCCTCCAAGGCTGTGCGGCCCTGCGCCTCCACGCGCGTCGGGGAGGGAGGGAGGGATGGTACTGACCTTGACTCTGGAACGGTTGTTAGCCTTTGGTCTCGAGGCTCTCCCCGCGGCCCGCCTGGGTCCTGCCCTGGGTGAGGGGGCTCCTGGTGCCCAGGGCTCCTTCCCAGCGCCTCGGTGTCACCAAGGCCTGCCCGATCACTTGTCCTTAGAATTCTGTGCTCTGCGGAGTATTGGAGGCCCTTTAATCTTGTTAAATAGCTAATAAAAGCTTCAGCATCTTTGCGTTGTCGCCCCATTAATACATGTGATCTTCAAGGCACAGTCCTAATATACGTGCTGCACCAAGACTATTAGTGAGGGAATCAATAGAAAAAGACAACTGGGAGCTGGGAAAGGTGGCTCAGTGGTAGAGTGCTTGCCTTGCATGCATGAGGCCCTGGGTTCGATTCCTCAGCACCACATAAGCAAAAAAAGAAAAAAGCCAGAAGTGGTGTTCTGGCTCGAGTGGTAGAGCGCTAGCCTTGAGCTGAAATGCTGAGGGACAGTGCCCAGGCCCAGAGTTCAGGCCTCATGACCGGACCCAAAGAAAAAAGAAAAAGACAACTGAAAAACTGTGCACAGTAAAGGCTTTTATAGTCCACACCTCCACCCCCACTCAAAAAAAGTCGGAGGAGCTCTTGCTCTTGCTCTTGCTACTCTTTTCTTGCTCTCTCTGTTCTATTCTAGCTCACTTTCTGTTCTTTTCTTGCTCTCTCTCTTTCCCAGCCACGTGGAGTGCCAACCTTGCCTGGTCCCAGCAGGTCTACTGAATAAACCTACCCCTTACCTGAATAAAAAAAAAAAAAAAAAAGTCGGAGGAATCATATCTTGGTTATGTTGAAAACAATATTGGCCCAAATGTCAGAAATAACACAATGGATAGCGTTTAGAACTTTACACAGTCAAATTTCCAAACTAAAGATTAATCAAGCTGGGTGCTGGTGGCTTACCCTGTAGCTACGCAGGAAAAATCTGTGAGACTCATCTCCAATTAACCGTCAGAAAATCAGAAGTGGTATTGTGGCTCTAAGTGGTAGAGCACTAGCCTTGTGCAAAAAGATATCAGGGACAGCACCCAGGCCCTGAGTTCAGGCTCCACTGGGGACCGACAAACAAAAAAAGGATTGATCAAAGAAGCCAGTCTTGACTCCATTTTCATTTACAAACTTTGACCTGAGAAAATTGGGCCTGGAAGTAATAATATCCACAAAAAACATGTCCTTGGTTGATATTATATGTAATGTAAATCCAGTCTCAGTTGCAAGCATTTAAACATAACCCACCCTAAATAAGATAATTACGTTAAAATTAAAATGAAGGGGCTGGGAAGGTGGCTCAGTGGTAGAGCACTTGTTCTGCATGCATGAGGCCCTGGGTTCAATTCCTCAGCACCACATAAGCAAAAAGAAAAAAGCCAGAAGTGGCACTGTGGCTCAAGTGGTAGAGCGCTAGCCTTGAGCTGAAGAGCTGAGGGACAGCGCCCAGGCCCAGAGTTCAGGCCCCACAACCAGACCCCCCCCCAAAATAAAATAAATAAAATAAAATGAAAATGAAAAAAAAGAAGTTTGAACTGCAATTTAGAAAGCTGGTTGTTACTGTCCAGTTTCCCAGAGAAGAGATTATAACCAAACAAGAAGGAACTTCCCAACGTTATAGTGTGAGATTTTGTGTGGAGGGGGGGGGGGTTTGTTGTGGGGATTGAACTGTCCCTGAGCTCTTCAGCTCAAGGAAAAACCCTCTACCACTTGAGCCACTTCAGCCACAGCGACACTTCCTGTTCTCTGGTGGTTAAATTGGAGATTAGAGGCTCATGGACTTTACTTGCCTTGGGCTGTCTTTGAACGGTGATCCTCAGATCTCAGCCTCCTGAGTAGCTAGGATTGCAGGTGTGAGATTTTTGAAGCATGACAAAAATTCAGGGTAACTGTTTGGAAAATCAGTACTAGCACACTGTTTAAAACTTTTTGGGGGCTAATTTACAGCCTCTGCCCCTAAATTCAGTCTACATTTTCACCTTAATCCCATATATAAGTATTGTGAGGGTTCCAGAAATAACAACTATTCCACTGAGTCGTTATCATAGTTATTCAAAATCCAACGAATTTCTCACCTTGAAGAAATCTCCATAGGAACATAGGTTATATGTATGAAGGTTGTTCATTGGTGTGGTAGGGGAGAGGGTACATGGAATGGATTAAATTGGTGATTCTCAAGATCTGTGTATGGACAGGGCTAAGTCTAACAAGGCTTTCCAAGAAGATATTAAACAAATGGAGCCCTGTAACACATTTTCATATTTTTTTTAATAGGTTGTAGGGCTTGAACTCTGGGCCTGAGCACTGTCCCTAAGCTCTTCAGCTCAAGGCTAGTGCTCTACCACTTGAGCCACAACACCACTTCTGGTTTTTCTGGTTAATTGGAGATTAGAGTCTCATGGACTTTACTTGCCTGGGCTGGCTTTGAACCGTGGTCTCCGGATCTCAGCCTCTTGAGTTGGATTACAGGGGTGAACCATCAGCGCCTGGCTTATTTAATTTTACCGTGTACTTTATTCTGAAATTTATCTTCCACAAATGTGTCATTATAATTTCCTTTAATAAATTGGTGTTGATGATAGATGGTTGTTTCATTACTTTTACAAATTATTTGGCTAAATAGAAAATTGACACTTCTTGATGTTCTTCTGGGTGGGTGGGTGAAATTATCAGCCTATTAAATCCCACTTCTGGAGTCCATTAGTAAAACAAAATAATGAAACCTTAGAAATGCTTTTAACTCTGTGGGGAATGTATCTATATGGGTATCTGTATCTGTATATTATAATATATGTATAAAGCGCTTTGTAAATTTCAT